CCCAGAAGATGCAACTTCCAAACTCCAGTGATCCTCCAATATTTCTTCTGGTGCAACTATGAGGTTGACACTTGTGGTTTTTAAATGATATTTTACCTAACAGCAAAAAAAGTTTTGACTGTTGTATTCGAAAAAGCTAATTATATATATATATATATATATATATATATATATAAAATGTTGCTGTTTTTGACAACAGCTTGTAGCCGTATGATTTACTGAGAGGTGAAACATTTGAGCAATATATCAAAATCCTTATTCAATTCCCCGACTTGTAATTTTTTGACTACACCTCCATTATTGCTACCCTCTATCATTTTAGAAATGTCTCATGGGCCATATTTGGCCAGGAACTGACATACATCCTCAGATCTAAAATGAAATGAAGAAGATCAAATAAGTATCTCTGGATTTTGAGGAAGAAGATGGCATTATCATAAATGTTTCATGGTGACAGCTTGATAGAGAACCACAAAATGGTGTCTGTAAAATCAATCATATTAGTACTGGAAAGTGTTTAGTATGTTAGTTTTGTCATAATAAACTAATAAAAGCTCAATCCTTCCAGCTATCACATTTATTTAAAAATTTGCATCTGTGACAACTCATTTCTATCAACTTTCATCAACCTTTACCAAAATAGCATCTAATATATTCTTTGATTCTGGAGCTAGGGGTGTGTATAAACACCACAGTCTGAACAAATCTGACATTGACTCTACACAGGCGTGTATGAAATAAATAGGGTTTAACCACCGAGCCATGATGCAGCTCTGACAGTGTGGTGTTGCTATAGACACCCTGTGCAAACAGTGGGTTGACCAATGTGAATTAAAGGGTCATACAGTGAAGTCAGACAAGTTCCCTGAAGGCTGTGTAGGTGTCTATTGCTTACTCCGAATATGTTATTACCTAATACCGAGCAACCCACACTGTCGAAATCAGATGTCAGGGTTCAGGGTGTAACCGTCTCTGAGTGTGAACATCTCGATCAACATTTACTGTCTGAAACTAAATCACAAGGCCAAAAATAAAACGCAAGGCCGCACAAAGATGGCAGGTATTTTCTGTGAGATAGTCCATATAGATCACAACCTTTATGGCATATAAGTTGACAGCAGAGTATGGAATTACAGATCACGACCTCTCTCCCTTGACAGCAAAGCCCTGTTTTCTTTAATTATCATAACAGACCACCAGCAGCGTGCCCGACAGAGAGGACCTCATCTCGCCTCTGCTGCTGTGATTTATAATCCAATCTGCTATCCGAGGTCACCGCGTGACATCTTTAAGTTATTTGGTAGATATATACAATCCATAAAGATCTATATTGTTTAGAAAGTTGTTATAGTTGAACCTTAAACCGGACTCTGATCCTGAAGGTGAAGGCCGAGCATCACCCAGGAAAAGAAAGGCGATGTGTGCCTGTGTGAGTGTGTGTGTGTGTGTGTGTGTGTGTGTGTGTGTGTGTGTGTGTGTGTGCCTGTGTGTATGCTTGTGTGTGTGTGAACGCGATCTTGTTTGGTCTGGTTTCCACACAAAATAGATAACACGCTGCTAAATAAAGCCCCCTAATGAATACAACACACGTGCCGCCACAGAGGTCTTTAGGGGAAAGAAGCGTCAGATATTTTTGCCGTATGATTTTATTTTCTGACAGGGTGATGGCGATGGATCACCGGCTCATACACAAGTAGGGGAGATATGAGCTGGCCAAGCGTTTGTGTTGTGGTACATGTGCTGTTTGTATCCATGGTAACTGCACCACGGCTGTGTCCCCTGATTCCCAGATAGAGTCACTGTCCTTGACGATACAAAGAATCTTAAAATGATTTAGGGGAGTTTCAACGTTACTACTGAAATAGAAGAAGTTACTCAGGATGTGTAGAGTGAGATCAGGAGGTTTGATACAGTAGTTTGGTCTGGTCTGTATGTGGTTCAGTGTGGTTTGCATCAAAACTGTCAAGAAGTTGTTGTTCAAAAATAGTCAATGAGAACATTTACATCTATCTTTATCTATATTTATATGTCTATAATATCTCGTAAAATAGGAACCAGCCATTAAACTACCCTGATACCTTACCTCTTAATCAGTAATGCAGTTGTTGAATTGAAATCAGAAAAGGTAGCAGAGGTCACAATATATTCACATTTTCGGTCATTCACCTGGACTGAGTTCCAAGAGCACTGAATCCTACATTTCCCACAATGCAAATCAATAGTCTGTCAAGTCAATCCCCCTTTTGTCTGGTAAATGTCTGCATCTTCCAGACCTCATTCCCTTAACAGTGGTTGATTGTAACTGGTACAGAAATGTGTATTTTACAGAAGTGATTCTATTTAATCTACTTTATATTGTACAACTGATCTACCACAGACACAATGACTTAATTGTATTCAATTTGTAGTTTAAAATACAACTTTGCAGATTAGGTTACTAAAAACATTCAATGATCTTATATCCTTCTGCATCCAGCTGCTTACAAATAATGCATCTCTTTTAATGATGTGATTATGTGCAGGTTATGAATACTGACATGAGCCTTCAACTTTACTTTGACTTTTGTCTCTTGAATACATTTTGATTCTATGTATGTCAGTAGCCGACATTTTGAATGTAATTTGGTTTCACTCGCTCTTGTAAAAAAATGTTTTTACATTCTTTTCAGTTTTGAGCATTTATGTCAGCGTTAATTAAGCTCCTTCAGAGCTACATTCATGTTTTCAAGACTCCCATATAGTCTCAGTCTAAGTTGAGTGTCACCATATTTTTGAGTGTTTGACCTTTATGTGTAGATAAGTTAGCTTTTACTTAAAAAAATCCTCCAGTTGATTCCATTGGAAAACATACATGATTGATATGAAGTTATTTGTATGCTTATCTTTTATTTCACAAGGTGATATTTTCGTTTCACATCATTTTCCAATAGGCAAATCATTCAGCCATTCTTTGAAAAGTTCATCTTCATTTGTCCCCCCAGGTTTGTATTTCCCAGGTTTCTCAGATGTTGCTTTGTCTGGGAAAAATCAGCACAGCAAGCAAGTAGATATCCTGACACTAAAAATACATGTGACTGACTCTATTTCTGAGGCCTGACTGTAATATCTTATTACATTGGCACATCGATTGTGGCTGAAGATGATTTGTCGGCTCAGGTATTCTCAGTCCCAATAAAAGTCCCTGATGCTATTTTGGAAGGATTATTCAAGAATTTGTGTTAAATATACTTTACACACCGCCACTTTCATTCTTTATTCATTAACCTGCTAACTGAATTTTTTTCCACAGCCATCAGCAGTTACAGGAAAGTGAAACCAGACAGGGTAATGCAACCCTCTTGGTTCAAACACTGGGGTGAGTGGGGCATACAAAGGCAAGGTCAAGTGTCACTGATAGCACAAAAAGATGTATAAATGCGCGGCATCCTTTGACGTGAGATATGTTTCTGCTTAAGTTAGCCATTATATATGAAATACATCTTTTCTAAACGAAGCCATTTCCAAATGTACAACCCAAGGTTCTCACTGAATGTGATACAAAAGAGAGTAGATACTGCCACCTGCAGGAAGAAACTCAAACTGTATGCATTTTGAAAATGACAGAACGGCATTATAAAAATGGATTTATGTCAGTGTATGTCGAAATGACAGCTCATAGAAGACAGTAACAGAAAAAAAAGATGAAAGAGTTTTTGGACTTCACGTCTTACAACCTATCAAATGTGGTGGCCACAGAATACAGGTTCATACTGTGTAGAATAAAATAAGACAATACATTTGATTGTCAGCCTAATCTTACTTTTATTTAATGTATTTTTTAAAGAATTAGAATAGATGTAACAAACCAATGTTACTGATTTTGTGCAATTGACTGTTCATAAAATAACATGATTGAAATACTATATGTTTAAGGATCACAAGCCAGGTTTTTACATTTATCCCCATCTCGCCATCTGCTGGACAAATATCGAAGCTTCAGGCTAAAACCACAGCCTCAATAGGATCTAGATTTTCATTTTGAAATGCATCGATGTTTCATACCGTCATCCATCAAAACATAAAAGTATATCTAGATGGCAAATAATGAAGGTGATCATTTGAATGATTTATATTTGTTAAATATACAAGTAATAATTGTGTAAAAATGTAAAAATGTCATACTCTTACTTTATGCTCCTGATTCGTTTTTCTTTCTGCATCAACACTCTGCTGTCCACACTACAATACATTTTGCCTCAATTTAGAAATACATTTTTGTGTACATGTTTTGTGTCTCATGGGGAACAGGGAGCAGTTTAGACTGTATCTGGTTTAAGAGGATCCTTGTCTGATTGTCATTAACAGAAAGGATATAGGTGTATGTAAGAACATATCTATTCATTGTATATGGTTCCTTCTTTGTTCAATCCGTTCAAAAAATCCAGACAGTAACATGTGTATGAACCAAAAGACCTTTCTCCACATTTATCTAGTTTACAGCCACAGCAATCAGCATGTATGCTTATACTGGCTCATTGATAATGTCAGCTGTAGGCATATAAAACTCATTCAGTGAAAACAGTTGGTAAATAATTGACTGATCACAGTCCATGTTCTTTGCCTCTATCCTTCAGGCTACAACCTGGCTACTAATTATCTCAAAGCCAGTATTACTGCTTCTGATCAGTGAGTGAGAGTTGAAACATTTGCAGTACGACTCCTCCGTTAAAGGAAATTTTAGATATCAGGTTCAAGCTTCAGCGTTAGACACAGATAAATAAGGTTAAAAATACTTCTTAGTGACAAGATAAATGAACAATTTATGCATGCAAATGTCTTCTTGTGCTTTTCTGTCCTGCTCCTTCCCATTAGTTTGGTTTTGAAACGCTGCCAAAAACCCATAAATTACAAGACCATACAGGTCTTCCATGCAGGAATTGGCTGAGAGAGAGCAGAAGCAGCAAAAATATGAACATAAATTTTAGAGAAAAGGACAGGGGAAAAAGGTCAAAGACATAAAGTTATTTTGAATTTGATTTAATCCAGCAAACCTGATTTTGAATCTATTACAAAAATATTCAAACCACACATAATTACATGTTTTTATGTTGTTTCACATTAACAGCTTTAAACAATCATAAGTGAGGTGCCAGTCATCATGGGTACACTTAAGGGGAACTTCAAAGCTGCCATCCCAGTGAAATCCAAGACCAGAAAAGGACTAGCATTGCATAAGTTGCTACAACTCACCCAAGTGAGACACCAGGAGCTCTGTCAGGAATTTACATACTGTACTGTTTTTTTTTCCTTTTGTTTAAAACTGCAGCTTCAGAGGTCATTACATCCTGCATAGTAGAAACCCCAGACCAAGAAACTTGACACTTAAAACAGGATGCATTTCATTTCAGATAGAGAAGACCATGTAAACAATGATTGGTTGAATGAAATATAGAAATCAGTAAACCCTGGCAGGAGCTGAATGAGGTTAGTAAAACCCTGAATGACAAACAACTATGAACAGATGTTTTTTTTTTTTTTTTGTTAAATCTGGAGGGCATACCAGAAAAAAAGAATAAATCACACTCGAGTCTATTGAGCTCTTTAAAAAAAAGGGACCTGAGACTTTCAGACTTGAGCAGTTAGAGCAAAAGCAGGACTAATCCAATCCCACCTCCAGTTGGTATTGTTGGACTGAAAGAGCTCTATGGCCACAAGCACTGGGAATCCATCAGCAATAGACCGGATCAACTGGGGATCAGTCAGGATCAGTAGGAGGGCTGAAGCTGTGATTCGCAGACGGCAGAGTGCTGTGATGCCAGTCTGCGAACATCAACAGGCTCCACTGCTATACTGACTTACCAGTTGCATACATTAGCCTCTTGCATGAGCTTGTCGCTTGTTGATAGAGCCCCCTTGTTTTCCTGGCAACGCTTGAACAGCTGTGGAGGTACAGCTCCAAGCTTTCAATCTTCAACCGTAATGATAACCATAGTAATGGCAATGATACACTTGCTGAGAATAAATAGTATATCATCCCTTAAATCATCCAAAACTGATTCTTCTCTCTGTCATTGAAGCCTCTGACAGGGAGAAACATGCCACTCAGTGTGCCGGCAGTGTTCAAAGTTACAATCAGATATCTTCAGGACAAGTTACTGAAATCAAATAAAAACTACACTCAATTTGATGCATTCACTGTTGTCTAAAAGAGCTCTTGTTGTTCTCTCCGACTTCAGATCTCTGGAGGTCACATTAATTGGAGGAACGGACTTTCCTGCCTTTGAGAGGCTGGGGAGGCCTGAAGTTGTTTTCCATGCGTATCCTCTGATCCTCTTCCTCTCCACTGAACAGGAGCATTCGAAACTTGCCTAGCTGCAAGAGGGGGAGAGGGACATACAGAATATTACATTCACATTTGTGCTGAGAAGTTCATTTTATTTGAGTTATTTTTGGTTTTGGGCATGCCCACATGGGACACTTAAAGCATGTTAAGGATGAAAAGACCATTCCCATTAATACATCCATCTGTCTTATGGATACATTTATTAGAACAGGAGTAAATAGTGCATTCATCATGGAACACTTTGAGTTTTGATGAGCATTTAAAGAACTAGGATGGTATATGGAGGATTGTCCATGCTCTTTGTAATGAAGGAACTTGTCTTTCAGTGCATTTCTGTGAATCACTGATGTATTGTTAATAGGGCTCTATGGCTAAGACGAACAAGATGCTTCAGGTTTGGCCAAACTATTTTATAGGATCATTGTTGCTGTATTTTTGTTAAGAGCAAACAGCTCCACAACCCACTCTCTTCTTGGACTGTCCTCCTTAGCTCTATGTCTAACCATTATGAGGAAAAGTGAAAAACAAAATAATACCCTGTTATATAAGGACTTTTCCTGCTGGGGTTCCATGCAAGCATTTCTCAATTAAAGCCGTGAACCAATCCAGCAATCCATCCATCAGGATAATCAGCTGGAGGGGATCAAAGGCTTGAAGCCTGGAGTCACAGGTTGTGGGGCCACTTGCCTAGCTGACACTTCACCCCCAACTATGCCAGAAACGTGGGTTTAAAGACAGATCGTGCTCAACTACACTCAAGGGGCCGCCGTCATTATAATGCCTCATTCCTCGTGTACAGTCCTGGAGTTAAAAATGGAGAGCGAGACTAGAAAAGATCAACAAAGTGTAAGAGTATAATCCAGAGGCTGGCAGCAGTCGCCACAGGGCCGGCTCATTGGGGGACCTGGAAGGCATGTGCTGCACACATCCAGTTAGTCAGCTTAACTTGTCAACAAGCTGGTGTTATCAGATGTAAACTTTCTGATTTAATTCAGAGATAAGAGCAATGGACAGAAAACAAGTCAACCCTACACACGGCATCCCCCATGAATGATGCTCACCCTCGCTCTGGCTTCTAAATATAGCAGCATACACAGGCCGTGGAGTATATTTATGGACATGCTAATGCACAGAGGTAAACCCCACCAGCACTCGCCCCCACAACTGTTCAAACGTGGCATACTGATCCAGTGATGCTGAACTGAAGTTTGACAACAGAGCAGACAGTGGATCCTTGGAGTCCAGTGGAGAATAGCCTGAGATTATGCAAGCCGGGAAGCGTGGATGTCACAACTGAATGATCGACAGCAGCATGAATGCCTCACAGGCCAATGCAGCACAGATAAAATATTACAATTTCTGTCTCCGTGTAGAACATTGTTACTTTAGTCAAACAAGTAATTTTACAATTTTATACATAATATACAAGACGTAAACAGCCAGGAGACTGGGTCCTGCATGAAGCAGGTCCCCTCCTGAGGGTTTGGGGGCTGCCGCCACCTCAGCCCCTCTCTCCACCCAAACCTCGCATCACCGGCAGTGGAGCTCTGGTCTTAAAACTCCTATTGCAGCCACTTACCCCAAAACCTTAGCACTACTCAAACACAACAACGTGAACACACAAACACATTCATAGATGAAGATTCACACACATGAAACCACTTCTCAGGTCTCTCTTCTCCCTCTCAAACCACTGAACAAAGCTTACCTTTTCCCCCCTTTTCTTTTCTTGCTTTCTTCTATTCTGTTTTTTCCTTAGTTTTTTTTTCTTTAGGGATTCTTTTTCTCCTTGTATATAGTTTCTGCTTTGTTTGTTAATCCTTTGTTAATTGTCTGCTCAAGTCTGTTCTGGTTTACCTCCCAGTATTTTGCAACTGTAAAGATACTGTACTCCTGTGATGTTTTGTATGCTCTTTTTTGTGTCTTCCAGCACTTGTATTCTTTTTCAGTTTCTCCCAATGTAATGCCTGTTTTGCTTCAAATCATATCAATGTCTTATTTAGTCAAGTGGAATGACGATCCTGTGTCAGATGTTTTATTCACTACTGGCTTGTAGCCAAGAAAGCTTTGTTTTTTTTTGTACTACTGTGCTACATGACCTGGAGTAATAAGTACTACAGATAAGAGTGCACGTGGTGTGTAATCTCGTTCACTGTAAATGTTCCACCCCAAACTATGGTAATACTTATCAAAGGGAGTAGGTCTAAGAAAAAAGTCTGAAGTCTTAGGACTCTAAGAAAAACATTCGTCAATATCAGACACCTGTTTTTCAGAGACTGTGATTGGCTCCTTCAGGACAATCCATATGACACTCTCGTGCAGTGGGGGTGTGGTCAGTGACCCGGGATAGGTCCAGTAGTGGAGGCTGCTGGGTAAGAGGCACTTTGGGTTGAAACCTTTGAAGTCTGTGACACTCGCCTGAAACAAAAACACAAAGAAAACAGATTTTATATGACTGCAATAACACTGTTAGCAGGACATAAACCACATTAAGATTTCCCTTCATAAGATCCAGTAACAATCATGAAGCTCACCTTGTACTTCACCATGTAGAGAGCGTCTGTTATCGTGTGGAGCCATCTGTGGTCATCCCCTGTCTAATGTAACGGACAAAATAGACGTAAGTGTTTTATATGCATTCTCTTGAAAAGTCACAAATCCAGTTATTTACACATTTGAAATAACATACAATATTTATTACAACTCTAAATTCTTTAAGTTCACATACACAGCTTACAGCACCACAACACTGGTGAGGGGAGGAAAACAAAACTGATAATTCAGTTTGAGTATAATTTCATGCAGAAATGCCCGTTTGTACACAAAATGATGTCAATGCTGAAAAGAATTCACGTGAAATAAGAAAGTATGGGTGCAGAAAGGCATCATTCCGACTTTGACTCTGTCCGAGTTATTATGAGTTAATGCAGACCTGAAATAAAAAAGTGTTAATTATTACACAACGACAGAAATTAGAGGAAAGGGGGGGGGGGGGGATATGATAAATAAAACATCTTACCTCTAAAAAGATTCCAAGGACAGCTAGGCCATCAGAAGCAGTTGCCGCCTCCCCAAACGACCTGTACTTGATGGCATCCCAGTGTACTAAATGAAGCTAGAGGGAGAAATATGAGGAGAGAGAGACAGAAAGAAACATTTTAGGAAGAAATGTGTGGGAGTTGTGCTCAGGTCTTCCTGATCATGCTCTAACAATATATACATTTTTTTGTGTATTTCGGCTTCTGCTTACAGCAATATAATGCTGATATAATAATAATAATAATAATAATACAAATGTTAGCAAAAATATTTCTTTAATTTGACAATGTACATTATAAATTAGTTTCGCTTTACCACAAAAAAAACCCACAAAACTTTTTTCCAAGTATATTCCATATCAAATGATGTAACCAAATCTAAACAAATGAGTTCATCTCTATTTAGGAAACAAAACAGTGACACACTGTTTTATTCAAATCTTAGACACTGACCTCAGATGCATAGCTATTTCCTGCAACAGTGTGCTCAGAGCCATGGCAGCCTTTTCCACCCCAGTGGAAGTGGAATTGTTTTAGTCTGTAAGGGTTGTCAAGAGGGCCTCCCTGGATCACTGTAGAAGAAGAGAGGAGATGCAAAAAAAATAAAAAGATCTGACATTCACACCCCCACACTCCCACTACTAGTCTGTGGGAGTTAGACAGACTGCTTACCAACAAAATGCTGCACAGAGCCTCCACCACACAATGAGTCAACCTGGTAACACCCAGGAGATTACATTTCTCAACCAAAGCGGAGACATGAGCACTAAAACAGTCAGACGGTCGGATTTACCATCAAATCTATCATTAGAGTCTGTGGAATGGGCTTTTGTTTTAGACACAAATAAGCACTCCTATGCTAAATAAAGTGCCAGGCAAGCTACTTTTAGGCAGGTTTAACATTTTCATTTGAGTCCCATCAGCCTACAAGGATTAACAGAAACGTTAATTTACATTATATTTACTGGACCTTCAGCCCATGATCAGGACAGTGCACATAATCCTTTTTGGCCTGCTGGCTATGGACACCAGCCTGGGCTGATTGTAATTCATTGTGATGCTGCTGACATCCTTCTGACAAACAGACCACTCCAGTAAAGGTCAGATCAGCGAGGCATGTATGGCACAAAGAGGAAAACACTTATCTTGTCCATCTTACAATACGGATGTAGGGCAGCAACAAGAACAACGTGATCACGTAAAAAACAAAAACACTTATAATATACATATGCATATAATCTTCCAGGACTATTTACTATCACTGCTGTGCTTTGAACACGGCCTATTCAAACTGGTCGGGGTAGTGAAAAATAATGATAACACTGTAAATCACGACCTCTGTGGTACTGACAATAATTAAAGCCTAGGGAAAATTTTGAAATATGACTTGTGAATTCTTGTAATGTTAGTAACATTCAGAGCTCACTCTTCGTTGTCTCATAGAGAGGCAAAGATCTTCTTTTCAAGTAGAAAAATTTCAGAATTAAATATGTATGGTAGTCAGCTGTGAGAGACAAGACAGTTTATGTCCTTGCTTTGTCTGTCAAAGCACTTTGTAAACATTTGTTTTTGAAGGTGCTATATAATAAATATATTCTTATTAGTATTAATAATAATAAATGTATTAATTCCATTTTAATTGTGATGTGATGCACACATTTTATCCATTTTTATAAACTACAACTAAGTGTTTAAAAAAAGAAACATTTGGATTAGTCAAACACCAAAATGGCCTTCCTCTGGAAAATACTTTCAAAGGAAGTGAAACTCTCAACAAGTCTGGCCATGTTTGGGGGCTGCAGCTCTAAAAAGGTGAAGAACTAGCCTGCAGGCCTTACTTCAGGTTTCAGAGACTGTTAAACTTGAGTTTGATTTTACTATTTTTGGGATTGAGGTCATAATCGGAATCAGATTTATTTCTCCAAGTACGGTCACAAATTCATGTTAATAATGTAAATGATGCATTTTCCCAGTCTACTGCAAATTAGTTTTTTGAAAAAAAAAATGCCTTTTTGAAATTTTCTTTAAAAAAAAAACTTTCTTTTAAAATGGACAAAAACTAAATCTGTATTTAATTGCACAATTGACAATCACCATTTAATACCCCTAAGCTGTAAAAAAAAACAAAAAAAAACAACAACATTGGGTCCCCTGTAAGTCCAAAGAAAGGTATTATGTATTATAATATTAGAAATTGTTATCATTTTGACTTTCTTGAATAGTGGTATAAGGTACTGTGTCACATGTCAATATATGCATGTGTACACCCATACAAAGCCACACATGGCAAACTGACAACTGCAGATTTAGTGGATTTGTGCACCTCCCTTGAACTACAAAGTGCTGAGGAAGTGCATTAGCATTGTCATAAAGATCTCCTCTCGTTAATTGCTTTTAGTCAGCTTATCATGCATGGTAATCATGTGGCGGTTATACCGGATCCACCCAATGATAAGAGCAAATCTGTTGAAAATAACAATTTAGATCATCTTAGGTTATTATATTTGTCCAGCAGACAGATACTCATTACGTTAACTACTGGCTGCATTTCCCTGCAGCATAAACAGAGGTAACCTTTGATTATGGTCAGTCATTCAGTTGGTTTGCACTTTCTAAAAATCAAGCGTATCCCACTTTTCCAGTATGTGTTTACTGAAAATAACCTGACATATTTTCACTCAATGTGGCCAATGAAGAGATATCAGAGCTAAAATTATACCTGAACTGTGACCTCAGTAAATAATAGCAGGACAGAAAATAATCTTTAAATATACACATAGGTCATGTCCTATCATAGCTCATAATCCCAGTCAAAACAATGCTTTCCATTTGAATTTCTGATTACTTTCTTTCACTTTACCAACACCTAAGGGTGACCTCTGCATGCAGAAACATTTCTAACCTATACTGTTTAGTTTTGTTTTTAGTCATATGCCCTTCTCACCTGAACGGTCATCGGTGTCATCGAACTCTACGACAACAGAGTGTCCATTGTTGTAGATGTTGAGGGACGTACAGTGGTCATAGTTTAGGACGATTGGGCCCAGGCTGGAGTCATGAGAAGCCTGAAGAGGGACAATGTCAATGGGAGACTGACGGCTCCCCTGGGCCACGGGGAAGTTCTTGTGCCATATGGAAGGACCTGGCCATACAAGAAGAACATGACACAAACACAACATAAAAAAAGATTTCAATACAATGAGTGCTAAATGCATGCCTTCAGCACTATTATATGGAGTGACTTTCAACTGCACCTCAAACAGAATATAAAAAAAAAAAAAGTGTGATTGAAGTGTGAAACTGTATCACCTTAAAAAGGTGGCTTCTTAAGGCAAGAAAATATTTCTTTTTGAAATGAACACAGCCAAATAAGTCAGTGCTACAGTAAATTGGTGTATGAGCCAATCAAAACAAGTAGACTACCCGTAACATGATAGGAACTCAAGAATCATAAATCTTTCCGTGAAGTCAGATGGGCGTATATTTCATAATAGCCAGGACACTCATGCAATGAAATGTTCCTCGCTTAGATGGTCAATCGAGTGAAAAGTCATCTTAACGTTAACAGCAGTCATCCCTTTAAGTGTGGGGGCTAATCTCGCATTAACAGCGTGACTCCTCCACGTTCCTCCTCCGGGATCAAACACGCAAAGCCCACAGCAGAAACAAATAACAGCACACACTTATAACGGTACAGAGGGTTAATTGTCTCCACTAGAGATTGGGAAAGCGGTATGCCTCTGTCTATGGATGATGCTGTGAGATCTTACCGTCCTCTTTTCCATATCCCCAGTGTTTCCCTGTCATCGTTCCTGTCACTGACTTTAAGCTTTCGGTGTTTGAATGCAGCTCTCCGGTGCGCACGTGGAGGACGGACGCGGGGACATCAGCCGGTTCAGCTATTGATGAAGTTTATGTAGTGGCCAAAGGGGAAGGGCAATCCTCCGGTTCTTGACACGCCCCCCCCCCTCCCCTCCCCCCCACCTGCACGCACACGCACACGCACACAATCCACCTGTCTGAGGTTTTAAAGATTATCTTGTCTCGGGGTTGTTACAGCAGCAGCTCGGTCACGGATTGAAGAATTGTAATAAGATGTAGGCCTACTGCAGTTTTTTCCACGTTACGCAGCCTATTGCTTTTCTCTGCACTGTAATGTTGTAAGTGATATAAAGAGCATTCACTGGAAATAAAAAAAAATTAAAAAAAACCACTATTTCTGATCATGGATTTTTTTTTAAAGTATCTAGGCTACTATTAGTTTTAGATGTCAATGCACGGACGAATACATGTGTAGATATATATATATGCCTTTAAGCAAATAGGGTACCCATCTGTGCAGACTTTTATAATCCACTACTTGAAGTCTGCAACGAAGCATCGCTATTCTAAATTGCTTTTGGGCTGTTTAAAACCTTTAATTTTTAACCTTTCATCTTACAGTTTATATCATATATAATATATCATGCATGTTTTGCAGTTTTAGTCTTAATATATAGACCTACTGTATTGCTTGTTTTCAGTAGGCCTATTTGTTGCTTTAATCTCATAGTCTTGACGTAAATTAATTTACCATGTCATATGCATTGTTTTCTTTTAGTTTTATTTAGTCAAGTCGGGTTTCAAGATCATGAAACAGCCTGGATAATTTACTGAGGAAATAAGTGATTAAATGGCTTAATTGTTGCGGCACAGCATCGTAGTGTTGTTGTGCTAATGATGAACGATTGCATGTATCACTAAATAAAAATAGTCTTTCAAATTCATATTTCCTAAACGTGTTCAAATCATATTTGAACAACACGCAATGCAACTTGTTTACGTTCCTACAAATGGATATCAGACTTGCCTGTAAAGACGATCAGAGCGAGAATTTGTGGCGAAAGTGCGAAGTGGAAAGTGAGCGCGGAGTCTCTCAGTGTCGAATCTGACGACGAGGAAGTGAAAACACATCGTCGGACGTCATTCATTGGAAAGCCACCATGGCAGCCACTAAAGCCTCAAAAGAACAGAAATATGACAGACAACTCAGGTAAACTTAAATTCACGGTGGTTTCACGAGTGACGTTTTATTCATTTAGCGTACGTTTCTACGTATTTAAACCCAGAAGGCATTATAGAAACACGGCAGAGGCAGGAGTGTTAAGATTAGCTGGCGTTATATGTAAAAAAAAGAGCATCGACGTTAGCATTAGCTATTTGTTAAAAGTGATTCTCTCTTTTTCTGTATGGTGTGGGCTTGCCCATTGAATAAAAAGCTCACCAAATGACTGTCACAATTATGCAATATATTCTGACTGCTTTTAATGGTTAAACTGGCGTAATAAATCATGACAATGTCAGTGTTTTGCAGCTGTCACACCTTTACCTTGCTAAGTCATGTTTGGTGTTTGTTGTAGGAGGGATAGTGGACACATTGTGCAACTAGATGGCAGCATACGTTCATTCAGTGTTGTGCTCTTTCAGACTGTGGGGAGATCATGGTCAGGAAGCCCTGGAGAATGCACATGTGTGTCTCATCAACGCCACAGCGACTGGGACAGAGATCCTGAAGAACTTAGTGCTGCCAGGTAAACAGGTGTGTTGGTGCTGTCGCTTCTGCTGAGGGAGGCATATTTTCTCAGACTAAATTCATCTTTTTTTTTTTTTTTTTATCAGGTATTGGAGCATTCACAATAGTTGATGGACACACAGTTTCTGGGGAAGATGTCGGAAACAAGTGAGAACATTTTTTTATTTTTTATTTAATAATTTGTCCATGAAACTTTTGTGTGTTCACGAAGGCGTCTTTGTTCTCCTTGCAGCTTTTTCCTCAGCAACAACAGCATCGGAAAGGTATGGCTCGCTGAAATTGATGCATATGTTTGTTTTTTTGGGGGGAGGGGGGGTAAAACCAAACACTGTGTCTGGATGTGCACTCATAAATATAGAATAGAATAGAATTAATTTATTGATCCCAAACTGGGAAATTGTGGCGTTACAGCAGCAGGTTATCCAAACACACAATATGAGTAAAAAAAACACAATGTTAGCAAATCTAAACACAATATAATATTAACTACAAAGTGAATAAGTACTAAAAGATATCAAAAATAAGAATGTGAATTTATACAACCAGGATTTCACTAAGCATTACTAGTCTTAAATAGGAAGATTAAATATGGAAGATTGAATGTAAATGTGTAAAAACAGAGTCGTAAATGGACAGTATTGACATAAGATAAAGTGCATGAGTGTAGACATATTATAAGCAGAAAGTATACAATATAACGACGAGTAGACGGCCAAATGAAGTGAACATGAGTGCAGGGATAATTTTTAAATTTAACATGTGCAGAACAGATTACAGTATGGAGAGACAGATATTATCACGATGACAGTTCTCTGCTCGCATGAGGTGAGCTGTTGTACAGAGTCAATCAGAAATGCACATCCAGACACAGTGTTTGGTTTTACCCAACATGCTCCTTGCATCTACATGTCTCTTCCTTTGACATTCACAGTTGTTGTACATGATCATATTAGCAGGAAAAAAAAAAAAAGTTTGAGTGCACATTTTGTATGAGCCTTGATCCTAATTCTGTGTTGCAGAACAGAGCACAGGCTGCCACTGAGCTTCTACAGGAACTTAACAGTGACGTCTCTGGAAACTTTTTCGAGGAGGTCTGTATAGTTCAAGTTATAACTTGGTGCAGCAGATCTTTTCACAGCAGAAATAATGTTAAACTCAAACCTTTTTTATTTCCATCACATGGACACAGTTTGAAAACGCTTAGCAAACTTAAATAGAGCAAGCCCTGGACTTTTGCAGATTCAGTACATCTATAAGTGGGGTCAAATTTCAGCACATAACAGCCTATTATGAATACAACATACTGTATGCTTTGTGGACATGTACATTTATTGACTAGTATTATGACCTTATAGTGACAGATCCCCTTTTGTGTCTTTTGTTACGACTGCAGTGTCCAGACAAGCTCCTGGACAACGATCCAGAGTTTTTCCAAAGGTTTACTTTGGTCATCGGTGTCCAGTTGCCAGAAAGGTTTGAAATATATTCCATCTCTTCTCTCACATTTATTCTGATGGATTAAACATGTAGTTTGTTCAGTCATTGGTAATAATTATGAAAAGAGTATACTCTTTTAAATTTCATGTAATTGATTCACATCTTCCGTTGCAGTTTGGAACTGTCTCATTTATTATTGTTTTGTTTTCTTTCCAAATAACTTGGAAATTTGTCTTAAAATTCACCAGCACATGTTTGAGGCTAGGCTCAGTTCTGTGGAGTGCCTCTGTACCCTTCCTTGTCTGTAAGACATACGGCCTGATCGGCTACATGAGGCTTGTGGTGCAGGAGCATACAGGTTAGTTCCCCCTACATTGCCCTTTGCCCTTTGATTCCACTTGAATTCTTTTGTAACACTCAAACAAATAACTTAAATCTTAACATTTTAGTTGGTATCATACATGCTTGTGTAATGCTGTTTACGTTGGAACATGAACTCCAGAAATACTAACTACACTCCAGTGATGAATAATAAGTTGTAAAGTTGTTTGAATAACTTACCTGACAGTATTTTGACATTTGAACGCCTCCTTCTTCAGTGATTGAATCTCACCCGGACAATGCCTTGGAGGACCTGAGGTTAGACCAGCCTTTTGCAGAATTGAAGAACCACATTAAGACCTATGACCTTGACAGCATGGACAAGAAGGTGGGCACTTAGGTGTCAGCACTCTTGCACAATTCTTTGTTTCAACTAGGCTAGCTTTGCACAACTGATAGTTCCCTTTTTGATTCTTTATCTGTAGGATCACAGTCACACACCGTGGGTTATTGTTGTTGCCAAATACCTGGAGAAGTGGCTCAGTGAGGTAGGGTACATTTTTTATGTCTCTCTATTGTCAAGATTTTCACCACATACTATCAGTAATATTTATCCTTCAGTGCTTTATAGTGTTGCTAACAATAAAATCTTAATCTATTTTTGTCTTTTTAGCACAACTGTCAGCCACCGAAAAATTACAAAGAGAAAGAGGCCTTCAGACAGCTTATCCGGGAAGGTATCTGTGGACCTTTCGGTTGCATTAGCCCATGAATTCAGTTCCTTGACCTTATAACTCAAACTAAGATCTGCTTGATTCTTTCCTTTGTTCCTTCAGGAATCCTAAAGAAGGAGAACGGTGTGCCAGAGGATGAAGAAAACTTTGAGGAAGCTATTAAGAATGTCAATACAGCTTTAAATGCAACTAAGGTGCCAGATCTCAGAAACCAAAAGTTTTTCTTCCATTTTTCTTCTTCAGTCTCAGTCTCAGTTAAGTTTCCGGGCCCTGCTCATGCTGCATTCCCTTTTCCTGCAGGTCCCTACTGCTGTTGAAGACCTCTTCAATAGTGAGCAGTGTAACAACATCACAGCACCGGTTAGACTTCTTTTCTTATGATTGTACTATTTTTTTAAAATACACAGGCAGTTTAATGAAAGTTGAGTATTTATTGTGCCTGATTACCAGACTCTGCCTTTCTGGGTGATGCTGCGGGCTGTCAAAGAGTTTGTTCTCAATGAAGGTCATGGAAGTCTACCTGTTCGAGGGACCATCCCAGATATGATCGCAGACTCTAAGAAGTTCATCAGCCTTCAAAATGTGTAAGTGTTAAATGTATGGCTACAAAAACGTGGGCTACAGAAAAGTATTCAGAAACCGATCAAATAGATCTAACTCTTTTTAAATCTGTGTATGATTTTAAAAATTGTGGGTTTGTGGGTGTGATGTGATGTTCATTTTTGTGTTCTACTTCAGTTACAGGGAAAAGGCCATGCAGGATGCAGCAGCTGTTTTTAAACATGTAGAAAGTCTATTGCAGTCTGTTGGAAAGGTAAGTTATGAAGTTTAAGCCTAAGAGCATTGAGTCCAAATAAAGTACATTGTAAGTTTAATTACTCCGCATGATTTCTAGTTTTTTCCAGCTTAATTAATGGATAGGTCAAATGATAAAAACAATGGGATTTCTGCATTTTTTTTTAAATGAGGGAAATGTCTAGAATTGAAGAGACGAGGGAAACTAGATTTCATGTATCACAGCGGGCACTTGAGAATCAATGTGACAATATTCTGGCTGTCGCAACTATTGAAGGGTCACAACAAGTTACCCTGTTTTTTGTTTTTGCTGCTCACAATATACTAACACTGAGCTAAAACAAGTACAACAGAGTTAATAAGAGGGAGCAAAAATACATCATGCATGAACTGTGTACTGTACAAAGTGTGTATATTTAAGACAGCTATGAAACACAACTTGCTTGAGTTAATGTGAAATGTATTTTATGAATCAAAATTCTATTTTATGCTCTCAGTCAAGATATTGTTTTCTATTTATGGGTGAAAACTGTTTTTTAAAATGCAAATTAACTAATCAATTCATCACCGCTTAAAACACTTCATCTTTTACTTTCCACAAGCCACCAGAGAGCATCTCTGAGAAGGACATCAAACTATTCTGTAAGTAACCCCCCCCACACACACACACACACACACACACACCATTTCTTATATTCAAACAGATACAAACTGATTAATTCAAAATGTGTACATAGCACATACTGTACTGTACTGTACATAGTGTTTTTTTAGGTTTATCGATGAGGTTTCATTTAGTCACATATGTATAAGTGCATTTTAAAATAAGCTGTGAACATTTGCTTCAAGTGTATCTGCTGTAAAGAGGCAGCCTTGACTTACACGGCTCATCATAATGTGATCTGATTATCATTGATAATAACACAAACAGAGGCTGTTTCTACACACATTTATGTACAAGCACACTTCTAATGAGTGAATCCAGGCCAACTGCATGATAAATTGATCAGTTAAAATATGTGACTTACTTAAAACACTTGAAAGCACCCTGTCTATCGTGTGTTGCCATCATGGCGCCTTTTCTGACATAAAAAGTGTTATATTATTCTGAGAATGGCAGCTGTTTACATTTGTAATGCTTTCACTTTGTATGCCATCTGGACTCTACCCAGAATGAAAACAAGTGTAGCATATTCTGCTCTGTGGGTGACTTTTGCTGCACTTTCCATAAGTGAATTCCTAACTGTGTTTGTGTTGGTCTCTAGGTAAGAACTCATCCTTTCTGAGAGTGGTGCGCTGCAGATCGCTGGCTGAAGAATACAGTGTGGATTCAGTCAATAAAGATGAAATCAGTAAGTTGGAGATTAATTTTATTTCTGATGCATCGTTGAGTCCTGTTCATTGCACCTTCTGAACCATTCTCTCTAAACTATGTTTATTTGCACCTATTAATGATAGCATTGTTTCCTCAGCCTCATGCATGGACAATCCGGATAGCGAGATGGTCTTCTACCTCATGCTTCGGGCCGTTGATCGTTTCTACCAGCAGCATTCACGCTACCCAGGTGTGCTAAGGTTTCTAAGTGTTAAATGAAAATGTGATTTAAAGGGGTGAGGGTATTTGCTCAATGACAAACTTACCATCATTTGTCATTTTGTGTCTATCCATATTAGCTGCTAACAGTTTAAAATCGTATACATCCTGCACTCTAAGAGCATATAAGATGAATGTTTAGGAATATTATAAAAACGTTCTGTAGACTGATTGATAGGGATGTAACCGTTCACTCAACTCACGATACAATTCACAATACGATTCTATCACGATTCATTTTACAATATGAGACTGTAGACAAATTATGACTGCAAAACCCACTTGTCAGTGTGGTTTGGCCTTTTAATGTTTATTTTCTCTCAACAAGGGGAAGTGATTGGAGCTTCTCATTGTGGTGTCGATTAAATGCTGCATCATGATGTTTGTAGTTCTCTGTCTTCTTGCAATATTCTCACACAGTTTTTGTCTCGTCTGTTATCTTCTCACCTCTTTCATTTTCTGTCTTGGGGGAAGCCAAAATGCTTCCACACCTCCGATTTAAAAGACGGTGGAGCGTCCTCAATTTCCAAATCTTGCTTTGCAGCTGCCAACCGCCTCTGCTCTACAGCTGCTGACGCTCACCATATTACTGCAATTCATTTTTCAGAGTACTGATGTGAACCTTGACACCTTTGAATCGATTTATCACGATTTTCTGATTACTCTTTACATCCCTGCTGATTGATGTGGATCATATGTATTGAGCTTTTTCCACTTGTAAAAACCATTGTTACCATCATTTAAAGGGAAGTGGGGAGAACTGGCAATGATACTGAAAGGGGCTAGCTGGTGTAACAAAAGAACGATAACATTATAGTCTGTTTACTTTGCATAATCATCTGGACTCTTTCTTATGTTGCCAGAATGCAGAAATACAGTGATTGAATTGAACCAATGTCTTAATTTTTCCATTTTCTAACCACATGTCCTGTCTCACCAGGAGTTTATAACTACCAGGTGGAGGAGGACATCAGCAAGCTGAAGCTGTGTGTGAACAGCTTACTGCAGGAATACAGCCTCAACGTCAACATCAAAGATGATTACGTCCATGAGTTGTGAGTGCTGTTCACTGCTGGAGTTACTGATTGTGGTGGTTGTTAAAGAATGTCAAAAATCATTGACTAACCTCTTCACCCTTTCTATGTCCTGCAGCTGTCGATACGGAGCAGCAGAGCCTCACACAGTTGCTGCATTTTTGGGAGGTAATATTTGAGCACATCTAGGAATAGATTTGAAAACACAACATTTCCCAAAGCACATATTCCTAATGAATCCTCATCTCTTCTTTAGGATCGGCTGCTCAAGAGGCCATCAAGATTATCAGCCACCAGTTTGTGCCATTCAGCAACACTTTCATTTATAATGCCATGTCACAGACGTCAGCCACCTTACAGTTGTGAATACACTTCTTTTTCCTCAGTTTGGTTACAGAAGCATTCGAGGAAATAGAGAAAGATCAAAAAAAGGCTTATACACACTTTCCTTAATAAACCATAACTGTAAACTGCACATCAGTCTTTTGTAAGAGGAAAGAAAGGTAACATTTGTGTCCCGTTGTTATTGAATATTGTGTGCACTTAAATGTAAAAAAAAAATGCTTCTCAAGCAGAAAATCAAGTAGAAACATTTTGGATTAAACCATCTATACAAACATGGACAGCCTTGTTTTCTTCTCCTAAATTCCTGTAAGGGAAGAGATCAGGATGATGCCATTTCTTTAACTTTTTGATTTTTGTAGCTGACATCATTTAACAAATCTATACATGGAAATAGCAGCTTTAAAACCTTCATGTTGTGATTTCATCAAGGAAACTCCACATATGAGTGATATCTTACATTGCTGCAGAGCTCCATCCAAACACTTTTTGTATTTTCTTTGGAACATAGTCATAGAGTCTGCATTCGAATGAAAATAAACATTTTGTGTGTTGTGTTGAACTTTTCATGTATTGCTATTAAAAATTTGAAATATACAACCTTTAATATTAATTTCTCTGTTGCGTAGAGCTTCAGCCAATAATAGATGAGTTGTCAAGTAGATAAATCCTCAGCAGCAGGATTAAAACAGTCTGGTAAACACTTTTAGTTAAGCGACTATGACTTGTTCTGATGGGTTTAAAAGTTGAAACAAGCATTTAACAGTTGTTAAGCCTGAATAAATATTAGACCACAAGCATGTGATCTCATAGAGAGGCCTGTAATGGGACTCTTCCCCCCCCCCCGCCCCCTTCCAGGTTCACTCGCAGCCACACAGGCTAATATAAGTATTGATGGATGGGGATTGCATTATTTATTCCAACACAAGAGGGCGATGTTTCCTCTTTTACTTTTCACAGGTCCGAGTTCCAATTAATTTCACATACCTGTCTGTTTATTAATTCCTGAAAAAGCTGAACATTGGACATGAGCTGGATGTGATAGAATCAGCTGCAGGATGTTAACAAAACAACTTTAAATGTTAATGATTAACCAAAATGTAAAGTCTCAATTGCTCCATCTGAAATGCCAGTAAGTATAGCAGGCAGGTCTATGCATTGAGTGTGATCATATACGCAGTTGGAGAAGTTGTTGGAGTGATTGTGATGTAACTTTTTGAGCAGGGTGAGGTCCCTCATTTGTTTTTTCTTTCAGACTTTGGCAGAATGGAAATTTGCCCTGAGCAGATCTCTTCCCTGTCAGACTCCCTCCATCCCCCCCCCAGCTCTCTTCATGCAGCAAACTGTCTCGAACACACACACACCCTCACACTCACACTCACACCCTCTGTCTGAGAGGGATAGAGCAGGCGGCCAACTAAAGTGCTCAGGCCATGTCCTAAATGAAGATTTCATCCACCGCCTAAAAGATTATCATGTGTCCACCCGCTGCTTCTTAAGATGATCATGAAGCTGCAGTGCCAGGTTTATTTGACCAGACCAGACAGTCTTTACTTTTTGTAAAGATAGAGAAGCAGCACACTAACCACTGATCAGAAGAAATGAAATAAAAAAACTTCAAACAAGGTCACTGGCGTGGCCTTCTTTTAATGTACACTTCAGCAACCATGTTGTACGCTTTAAATCCTCCCAGGATTCTTTCCCTTCCCCACAGTTCAGTCTACGTCTGTCTCTTAAATAAAGACAACATTGAGGGTGTAGGGTTTCCTTTGAAACTAAACAAACATTTGCATTACTTGAACAATGTGTGTTATTGGTAATTTCATCCTTAAAGTTGCATGAGACAAGTATGATGGATGATTTTTTGTCTGTTATATCGAGTTGTATCAACATTCTATAATAATCTTTCCTTTAGCATTTCTGCAGTACTTTCTTTGCTATGTCATGCTAACTTTTGCATTTGCTATGGTTGTATGCCCCACATGAAGAGAATTAATAGTACGAGGAACATCTATTTTTTTCTCTCCTTAAAGACATTCTTTAATCAGTTTGTCCAGCTGATTTGTATACAGCTGTGTCAACATCCCAAACGTAGAACATTCAGTGCTTGTGACCTTTTTCAAAAACAGCAGGAGTGCTTCAGTTATGGCTCTGTATCTTCCTCTATACTATGTGAGTACTGACAGTTACTGTGGTGTCACCTAACGCCCACACTCTTTGAGGTATGATTACTCACAACAAGGGTTCAAATGTAAACAAACAGGCCAAGGCGTCTTTCTGGCATAACTGCTGTAACCGCAGGGAAAGGGTGTGTTTGTATGGTAAACAAAGTCATGTGTTTAAAGAAAATGGTACACTTTGTTATTTTAGAGAGAACACAGGGAGGGAGAATGGTGCAAATATGATCACAAACAGAACTTTCGATGGGTTTCTGATACAGGAGATAATCAACAATCTAATTAAATTTGAGAAGGACATTTTTTTTTAACTTAAGTGCAAACACCACAACTTGTAGAGAGATACAGGTTTATAAATTCACATTTAAGATGCACCAAAGGAAATTTGTTTTCAATATTTGCAAAATGATTATCAAGATCTATTTCTATGCTCCTTATCCTCAGGGAGGGCCCATTGTAACCCATGATAATCAATGGGTATGCAGATGTGGGTTTTTTTTTTTTTCAGTGCTCGCTGCTCATGCATGTTCACTTTATCATTGTAGTTCACTTTTGTAACTAATGAAAAGTTCAGAAAAGATTATTTGATGTCATTCATAAAAGCCGGTGAAAAATACAACATAAACACTGTACAGTGCCTCAACACATCAGGACACTTTCATGACTGGTGTCAATTATATTCTGTTCATTGACAGAAGTGGAGTTCTTGCTTTATTGGCTCAACAAAGCTGCTGCAGAAAACCTGTTGCAAGGAAAACCAGGAAGATGCTCTTAAATACAATCATTTAAAAAAAAAAATCCATGCAAACAGTTGGAGTCTAATAAACAGTCTCTATATTGTTGGAAAAAAAAATTTTAATAGTATAATGCCTCTGGTGTAGGTGTTTAGAACATTGAAATTAGACCTCCAGGTTAAGGTATGACTTGGAGCAGTGTGTCTATATGATGTAATAGGAAGAGTCTTTGCATGTCATGTGTCAGTCAGCAGCAGGATCATTAGGAGGTTTGTTAGCATGTGGTTTCTATTTTCTAATTAAACACTAATTTGAAGTTGATGAAAGAAATTAGTCTTGTTTTCCCAAGGCAGACTTGTTTTTCCTCCACTTCTTACAGTATATCTAAGCGGTCCTTTCAAATGCAGCATCTGATACTGAACTGATTGCTCATTTGACATTTCACAGCCTTGACTCATAGAACGCTTTGCTGATTCAAACATTTTATTCCTCTTAATCTGCGATGGAACATATATACCAAACACAGGCGTTAGTCTGTCTCTCACTCATTTTTTGCATTAGATCGGGCTCCTTAACTTTTTTAGAAATGACTTTGTTCACTGTGTTCACAGGAGACAGAACAGCGAGCAAGTAGGTAAATAAGTAGTCAAGAGTTAGAAAGTCAAACAGCCACATAACACTGCTTATAACAGACCTGCAAAAACTCTGAGCAAATAGAATCTAGTTTTGTGCTAAAGTGCTTTTTTAATTGCTAAGGAGTCTAACTTCTCAATTTTTTGAGAGCAAATTCACTTTTTATTTTAAACCAACAGTTGCTTTCTTTCACTTTAGACCTATAGTGAAGGATTTTGTGGCCACTGGGGGGCAGCAGAAACAACTTTTAAACAAAACATAAAATTATCATCACCTTTTATGTAAGAAAGTCCAATATTTCTTTGGGAACTCCTGGGGGCAATATTTGGCTCTTTAGCAATTCAAAATATGTTGACGTGCTTTCACTTACTGTATGAGTGGTGCTGACAGCTAGTTGACTGTGTGCTCAATAGCTTTTTCCCTTAAACATTCAACACAAATTTACTTGTGAAATATAGTATTATATGAGAAAAAATAATATATTTGTAAAAGTACCACCTACAGAAACAAGTTTGAAATTCATCCTCCATTCTCCATGCCCTTGCTCACTCTGGCTCCTCTTCGCTTCATCAAGGCTTCAGCTTCCCAGCTCAGCTTGTAACTACACTATCTGTGCGCCACAGGAGAGGCCTGACAATGGATACGTGTGTGTTCACTTGTGTACGTGTGTGTGTGTGTGGGTGTGGGTGTGTGTTCAGGGTAGGTAGGAGGAGGGGCTGGTCGTTAATGCTAAAATCAATCACTAAATCAGAGGCCTGGCCTGCAGTAGGGCCACACTGCCAGCGCGGATTCTCACTAGAAGCTTCAAGCAATAAAGACAGAGAAAAAAGAGGGGGGAGGGGGCTGGATGAGTCATCTTAGGGTAATGAAGAAAATTGCACAGTAAAGGTGACAGAATGGTGGTCATATCTCCCACAAGGACGAAGGATACGAGGCCCCAATGTCCCACCCTGTCACTGCATAAAAGCTTGTGTTTTATAAACACATCATAAACAGTGTCAGCGACAGACCGAAGGAAGAACCAAAGACATTTTGAGGTTTTGGAAGATTTGTCTTCTGATGGCTAGTGGCTGTAAGTTTGAGCCATCTACCTGGCTAGGGTCCAACTGGTTCACCTTCTCGTGAGGCCCCGGCTGAATTAAAACCGGCCTGCCAGAGCCCAGCGCGGTCTACTCTGTGTTTGCTGGGAGACTGCAGGAGGCCGGCATATTTTAAACCTCTCAGGGGTCTGCTGAGGGCCTCTCCATTCTTCCTACAAACAGATGGAGCTGTGACTGAGGAATGTAAAATACATACACACTCTAGTGGAAATGACAGAAGGACATGGACAATGCAACAGTTTGGTTTCCTTGTCACCATAATGTAAAGAACAATGCATCTGACTATAAACACATTTATTAGAAACCATAAAAATTATTTTTAAAATCTGCATATTATTTGCCTGAGTTAAAGAGGATTAAAGTACCTGGGTAATATTTAGAAATTAAGAATTAGCCCCATGTGATCAATAATTTCACTGTAAGGTAAACAGGCTCTGTGATGTGCTGTAAACCTCACAGCAGTGCAGTTTAAATCCGAGTCTCAGAGGGTGGAGCTGTCCCAGCTGCAAGGCCTTAATGGCTATATGCTTTCCAGATGCATTGTTAATGAGTTCATGTAACACACAGACACACAGGGAACTTGGTATCCCATCCATCAATACAGGAGGGGATAAATGCACGACCCGAAAACATGGAAGGTATTTGAAGACAAATGCACCTCTCTGCATTCATGTTCACACGTACAAGCAAAGGATGAGCAACAAAGGGGATGTGTCTGTGCTGCTTTCCCAGCACAGCAAATGAAACTCACAGCCATACTGTGGTTAGATGTTTTAGGCTGGAATTGTTAACAAAAAAAAACGTCCTGTGGAGATGTCAGTACTGATTCAAAAAGCTGTAAATATCTTTAATCAGTTCCAGTTCTTTCAGCTTAGCGTCATCCATATATTCTGTGTTTTTAAGGCTTTGACAGATACG